AATGAAGGTTCGCGAAGAAAAGTCGGCTTGTTTTTAATATCTGTTAATAAACTGTGAGAGTAGGTTTTTATTAACCACTAAAAATGTATATTAGTTTGTTTGATATTTGGAGACGGTTTTTAGTAAACTTGGGATTTTTACCTCCTGGGCGGCAAGGGAATACTTTAAAAGGACCTCAGATTTACCAAACAAGGTATTTTTATTTGCATATATTTTTCGTATATTATTCTCATTTTAGAGCATTTTCAAACGCGTACTTTAATATTAGATCTAGAATTAAGGACTTCCAGATTTCCTTAATGTGCTTTTGATAATATGAAGACGAATAACTTAATTTGTTCAATTGATAGATATTTTAGATCACACACAGTATTTATTGAAGGAGGGGAGAAGGTTATACTGGGGATATTTATTTTTCTAGGTAAACTAGTAAACGTAAATAGTATATATTTTCAATAAAGTGCTCTAAAAAAAACTTAAAGAAATATTTGGAAATGAAATTTGATTATACTCAACGTAGACCAAATTGTTATTGATATAATTGCTTTGTTTGTTGTACAAATATTTCAGTCACAATATGTAAACTTTGCAATTAAACTAAAAGTGTAATTATACAGTTTTTTTGAATTCTTCAGTTTCTTGAATCTAATTGCTAAAAATGGTCATTAAAAGTTTTCATTGCTTTATTGTCAGATTTTCACACACGTTTTAGGGAAAGAAAACTAATGCCAAGTAGCTGCATCAGACAAAATGCTTATTTATCGTAAGGAAATCTAGTTGGGAAAACCATTTTCAGAGATAACTTTCTCTCTCATTGATGCATTTAATTGCTTTCGAGAAACATGAAGTTTATTTTTTTAAATATAATTTCACAATTATATTTGAAATATTTGATTACAGTTTTATGAAATTTTCACATGAATTAACATTTCTGTAGTAATTTTGTATCTTATTATATCATTAAAGGGAAAAAAATGTTTTCGAAAGTTTTGTTGTATTTAAAAACTAGCTTTAAGAATAATTTGTGTTAGGAAGCTTCAGGTAGTGGATACTTTTACTGAATTAATGACTTTAAAAATCAGAAGGGATGTGAAAGAACAGTCTTGTTTTTTAGTTAATTAAATTTAAAAATGAAGTCGATTAAGAAAGTATGCATATGAAGCATCTTTAAAATTGCCTTAGGCTGTTGTTAAGAGCTTCCGTCTGGCACTGGGATTCAAAGCATTTGATTCCTTTTTCTTTTTTTGTTTCTTTTTTAATTTTATACAAAGTGAAAATTAAGGCTGCGAATTGGTAGGGAGAGAGTCTTGCACGAGGCCATCAGGAATTCTAAATGAAAATAAGTAAATACAGCAGTGAATATTAAGTAATAAATAGTAAGAGTTATATTAATGATAAATAAAATAAATAGTAAATTTAATATCATGAAAATTAAAGAAAATTGAAGGAAATTAAATAAATCGTGGGGAAAACGTAGTTGCCCCACGATTACCAAGTACACATTGTTTGAACTGTAATTTTTAGAATAATTCCATTGTTTGAAAAATAAATGTTTTGGATAAAACTATTGCTTAAATTTGATTTCTAGTGGATCTAAAGACCTTAGTAGAAATGATATAGACCATAGATAGTCTATGCCTTTTGTATATTAATATGCATGTCTTCCCAACTGCTAAAGTTTCCTCTTATATTTCATTGTTTTTAGAAAAAGACATTCAGTAGCTAATATCAGTGTCAGTTTTACTAATTGTTAAAAATAATGCTACTTGTGTAAATGAATATGTTTCACAACAAAATAAGCTCGTTTCTGTCAGAAGTTGAGGTTATACCCATCAAATAATCTTTCTTTTACAGGTTCTGAAAAGTCTTTCAAATTTTTATGCTGTAAGAGATTATAGAAATCTTTAAAAAAGGGAAGGAATTGGAATGAAAGAAATCTCTGCTCCTACTCCCTCAAAAAGGATACAGTGTACATAAATTACATCTGCAAGGCTATATTTTTAAGCCTTGCAAATGCTAATTTGTGAATTAATTACATTAAAGATAACAATTAACTGCTGTCAAAAATTATTTTTTGTCAAAGATTTTCTGAATTGAAGTAATTTACAACCACATCGCTGCAGAGAGCAAAAAATACATATATGTTATTTAATTTTTTCAACTAGAACTGCTCTTCAAATGAAGTTATCAGTTAGGACAATTATTGGTTAAGTGTTAGCTAAAATTCAAATTAGCATATACATGTAGTTAGAAATATTTTGATTTAAAAGGGAGAATGATAATACAAGACTTGCACTGGGCTGTGAGTTATATCTGTTGAGTAGGAGCTACGGAGCAAATGCTGATGCTTGAGGAGGTAAATGTTTCTACTCTTACTGGAGTTTCACTAAAACTGAAAATATTTTCATTCTAGTAAATTAATAATCAAATCAAATTAAAGGGGCTTTTACTCCCTTGGTCATAACTTTGTAAAGGTCTAAATTAGCCAAATGTATTTCTAAAGACAAAAAATCTGATTAGTATATTTGTAGTTTGTTGTGGACTGAAATCCCAACAAATTGACTGGTTGCCTAAAAGGAATTTTTATTTTTTATTTTTCCTATGTACAACTTGAATATGAGCCAATTTTTCTGTGAAAATTCCCATGAAGCTGCGACCACTGTCTGATGCTCTTCAATTTTTATTCGGGTAGGATAATTTTTGTTTAGCAGCAGAACAACAGGAATTATTACCTTAAATTTTAATAAATTATCAATTATCACTATTCAGTCACTTCTCTTTAAGAAATAAAAAGAAATTTTAGTTTCACTATTTGTAATTAGTACTGAAATATTAGTAACATAGTCAAACATCACTTTGAGAAATAAAATGATCACATGTTCAAAAGTCACTGTGATAAGAGTAGTAGTCATATGATATCAAAAATGTCACTGTTATCAGGTTAATATAATCATTCTTCTGATTTTAATAATTAAGAACTCTTTTTAAAATTATATTTTTATTTTATGCATTTGATGTATTTTTCATAGATTAAATTAAGGATAGATTAACTACTTTTTTTCTGTTTAGCTTATTTGTAGCCTTTTAAATTCATATTTTTTACATAAAATTTCTAATTAAAGAAAATTATAAAAGTATGAGCTTTTCTGTTGTATGTGTTAGATGAACGAATGAAGAGAATAATAGAACTTCTGTCAGATTCCACAGTTAATTTTCTTTACGAAATCAGTTGTGAAGACTAAAAGTGTGAACTTAGATCCCCAGGTAATGTAAATGTAGTTATCAGAAATGGCTGTTTTTGATTCATTAAAATGCATATCAGTTTTGAGTAATTAAATGTGAGTGAAACTAAATTACTCATTTATGTTAATATCAAATTTTTTGGATTAAAAGGTTACAAAGTCTGTTAGGCTGTTAGAAGTACAAAGCATGAAAAATCAGTGTAGCCCTTGCTGAGATTCAAACTCTGAATTTTCTGATGCTAGCTGCACATACTGCCACAAAGGCATGCAATGGTAAAGGCAGATAAAATGTTCCCCCCCCTTTTTTTTTTAAGTGCGATTGAGGAGACGTAGTTGCCAAATCCAGTTAATGATGAATTTGTTCACCACATTTTGGTTGGATGCCACTTGTAGAACTATTTAATATTTTTTGAGTGAGAAAAGTAAGGAAAATTAGCTGTGCCATTTGCTGGGATTTAAATTTCTGATCGTTTTATTGCTAGCTGAATGTGCTACCAGTTACATCAAGAGAGCATGTATATAGAAGGCAGAAATTCTTTAAAAACTATTCCATTGTACGATAATATCTCAATTATCGATCTCAGTCAATTTGTGGTACTGGCTCACATGCAACAGAAGTCACATGATAAAATATCATTATTTGTTTTTTAGAGTCAGGACCTGTATGCAGGCACAGGAACCCATGTAACAAGATGGACGCTTTCCAAAAGACAGAATGAGAGAGGGTTGTTTGCCAGGAGACCGGCTGTTTGCGTCCCGCTCACGTCTATGGACACGAGAGTCCGATTAGCATGGTGCAGGCAGCATAGTGATTGGAGTATGGAAAAATGGGCGACCATTCTATTCACTGACGAGTCCCGTTTTAGTCTAAACACCGTTTCTCGCCGTACTTTCATATGGAGAAAGAGCCAAGGACCTGCTACCTACCTGTCTGTGAAATCAACAATTATGGAGGTGTAATGGTCTGGGCAGGCATCATGTTGGATGGGGGCACACCTCTCTACGTCTTTGACAGAGGCTCAGTGACTGGTGAGAGGTATAGGGATGAGGTCTTGGAGCCCTATGTTCGCCTTCTGGGGTGCAGTGGGTCCCAAGTTCATCATACAGGACGAGAATGTGAGGCCACATAGAGCTCTTCAAGTCGACGAATTTCTCGAGAGCAAGGATATTTGCCAGGTGGATTGGCTAGTCAGGTGTCCAAACCTCAACTCTATAGAGCATGTGTGGGACGTGCTGGGAAGGGCAATTGTAACTGGCAACCTTCCGAGAACTATCCAGGAACTGAAAACAGCGTTGCTGAATGAGTGGGACCAATTGCCACAGCCTTTGATAAAACTGCCTTATTTCCAGTATGACATCACGCTACGAGACCTGTATGGCTTTAAGAGGGGACCATACCCCCTATTAACCCATTTCTTTTGCATCTTCTGCAACTGCTGTTTCAGACCTTCAGACTCCCATGAGCGTTACACACGAATATTTGTGCCGATTATAATTGTTGAATGTTTTTTTATTTGTATTATATCAACCATGTTCACACCAAATTTTATTAAAATCTGTCCAGTAGTTCTGGAGATTGTAGATCAAATATGAAAATTCTCTTAATTTCTTTGCAAAGTGTAGATAACATCTGCATAAGAATGAAATCTATTCAATTTTCTTTTGCTTGTCTTTATGGTTTCAACCTAGTGGGTTAATATTTCTGTTATAATCAGAAGAAAGAATAATGAGAAAAATTTGATCAGAAAAGGTTACTTGTTTTTACTTAATATTCATTGTAATCTGTTAAATGTTTCTTTGTTTCAGAAATAATTTAAAAACTTTATAGATTTTAATCAAAATGAAAATTATTAAAAAATATGGAGAGATCCTTATAAAATAAAGAATGACAAATAAATGTGGGATTGATTCCAAGAGATGGAGCATGATGCAGAGATGACAAAAATGACATAATTTGAGACTTGAGGTTCCTACATTTCATTGGGTTTTGAAGAACTATCCTGTTCAGTTGCCAGCAAATCAAAAAGGCCCCATTATCTTAAAGATATAAAAATATCTGTGTTTAATGCAACAGCAAGGGAGCTCAGATGGCTACAAGCACCTTTTTAAAATTCCTTCAGAAGTTTGAGGGTTTTTTTTTTTTTTTTTTTTTTTTGTATTGCTCTTTCTCCTAACCTTGTGGTACTCATTTATGTGAAAATGCTATTTTCCAATGCTTATTGTATAAACAAGCATCAGTTGATAAATTTGGGGACTATTCACTGTGCTCATTAATTACTGTATTTCCCCTTTATAATACACTTCCATGCATAAGGCACACCTTGATTTTGGGACTCGAAAATCATAAAATAATAATTATTTAGTTTAATGGACTGGTTTTTATTAGCCTCCTGGATTACATGATTAGAAGATATTATGAAATTTTGCCATGTCCAGAAAGGGTTGCCGCTGTCATGCTATGCCACTAGTGCTTAATATTAAATTTTTATTTGTTTCAGTGTGTAGTTTTGTTTACATTTTGTTCTTTTATAGTTGTTAAATGTAAGGCTTATTTAAGTAAAATGAATAAATAGTCAAAAAGTCTATTTTCACTCAGAACTGAAACTGCCATGGATAGTAGCTCTGATTTAACATCCACGGCAAGCATTTTCAAAGAATCAAGTTGAGATGGCATGAAGCTATTACTGTGGTTAGAGATAGGTTAACTGGTAGTAGTACGAAAATTATAAACAGTGGTTCTGCTTAAAAGGGGAAAAAAAAAAAAGTATTCTGATAAATGTTTTAAACATTGTACTCAAATCTTATTAAGTAGCACACTTTTCTGAAAGCATTTAAGTTTGTAACCCTTCCATTATAACAGTCATTGTACTGATTGATCCCAACAAATGTGAAAAGGCTGACTATTCAGTCAATGATAAAAGAAGAAAAATGTTACTGCTTGTTGTCTTTTTAAAGTCGTAATTAAAATTTTGAGGTCTATGAATTATATGAATTTTAATTTGCTAGAGATCCTGGTTAAATTTAGATTATTTTTCTTTTTCTTTTGGGCTTTTCAGTTGTCAAGTGGATAAGATTGCTGAACATTCATTGTTTGACCTGGCTTCATATCCTAATGAATGGGCATTTTTATGCTTCTCTCCCCTCCCCATGTGAACATCATCAACATGAGCATGTTTCTATTAGCAAGGTCCTCTACAAAGGCATCCTTATTCTTATGCAGATAGCTGTTGCTTTCACTTTACTGAAACTGTTGCTTCACTGCTTTCACTTTCATTTTTCTTATCATGCTCAAAGCTGTAATAGACCTATATATCATCAAAAGTTTCAAATTTTCTTTATATTAAAAGTGTTATGTGTGTTAAATATACCTGAAATTTTTGTGTAAGCTTTTTATTCTACAAGTAATACCATATGTACTAGAAAATCAGGTACCCTTGAATGTAATACCATTCTTGCATTTTAGAATAATTTCTAAGAAATGAAAATAAAAGTGTGTATTTGGTAAGGGCATGGTTTGCATTAGAATGTAATTGTTTCTGATTGAAAAGAAACGTAACCTACCCAATTAAACACATTTTCTATAGCATGGGGGGATTATAGAAAATTATAATTACATTATTACCTGTTTTTCGGGCATCGAGTAGCCAGTATAGTGGATGGAGGCCTTAATTGAAATTGCTTATACATGCCTACTATATTTAGCAATAGTTATGCCGTTTATAAATATGGTAATTTTTGTAATATAATTATTCTGTACAGTATTATAATTAACTCCTTCTTTTCATTCTGCAATTTTATTTATTAAGATGCTTGTTTATGTGACCATATCGAATATTAAAACAAAAATATAGTAAAAAATTGAGCTCATTTCAGACTAAGCACGGAACATTAAAGAAAGATTCATTGTTTTTTTATAACCATGTGTTATGAATGCAAACTGAGGTAATGAAATGAAAGGTAATGAATGCAAACTGAGGTAATGAAATGAAAGGTAATGAATGCAAACTGAGGAAAGCCCTTGGAAGAAATAAATGTTCTTTTCTTTTCAGTTAGGGCCACCAGAAACGTAGAGATGGATAAGTGCAACAGTACTTTGCATAGTTTGTGTAATAGATTCGTGGTGCTAAATAGATGTAAGAAATAATTGGCTGTGTGTGTCTTTTTAAAAGAAATCTATTTTCATAATTCATTTTATCATTTATTTTAAAGGAGAATCTCCTGCCAGACGGATCGGAGGTACTTCACCCCTCTTTTTTCCTTCTTCCAACCTCGAAGATTTTCGCCTTGACAGCATTTTAAATACCTCCATATCTAAAAGGTACTAACACTTATAAACATCTAGACTATCCTTAGGATTTGAATTGCGTGCTCAAAGCATGTTGCTCAAAGTTATGGCAGCATGTTGCCCTACCGCCATGCCCCCGGGCGGCTTTTGCACTCATTAATTAGTGTTATTACTACGTTAAAATAGAGTTAAAATTTAATTGTCACAAATGGACTTAATCTGTAGATTTGCGTATCAAAAACTGATGAACTAATTAATTCAGCATTAACGTTCAAAAACTGATGAACTAATTAATTCAGCATTAACGTTCAAAAACATCCCAATGCTTACTCATGTGCGACGTAGCTTACATATTAACCTTTTGACTGCTAACTGCCGTAAGTTGAAGCGCTTCGCCTAAGCAGCGTGCGCCGAAGAATGACTGACCAAATAAACAAAATTTCATTTTTTTCCCCTCGTTGCTAAGAACGAACGGGTATGATGTTTCTCCGAGTGTTGACGATGTGTATGTGCGAGTGTGTGTATGATAGAAATAATTTCCGAATAAGAGCAGTAAACAGTCAAAAGCCTTCGGCGAGCGCATTTGCGTCCGGTTTTTGCTAGAGGCATATATGCGTCCATAGCAGTCTTCTTCTTGAAGCTTGGCTTCCCCTTGGCGCCTTATGCTTCAACTCATATATAATGTTATTTACATGCTAAACCCACAAGGAGGGAATGCGTCCTTGTGGGTTTAGCATGTAAATAACATTATATATGAGTTGAAGCATAAGGCGCCAAAGGGAAGCCAAGCTTCAAGAAGGAGACTGGGTCTAAAGAATTCATAAGTGCTGTAATTGATGACGAATTTGCCTAGGAAATAATATCTCCAAGGTTTCTTATTACAATGATTTAAAAGATCAGCTAAGAGGTCAATATTGCTAATTTTTATCTTCCTGAGCATAATATTTCTGGCACTATCGTACTTTCCTTCAATGAATAAGTGCATGTTCTGTACTGTCAATCATATGAATCACAAAATGGCGAATTCGCTCTACGATACCTGTACGACAGTTGGTTCGTGTCCAACATTTGAAATCTTATGTTACTGATTACTACTTACATTTTCCTATCGATGTTTAATCAATCCTTTACTCACAATGAACATTGCAGTAGCTGAATCTGCAGCCGGTGTGAGAAGTCCGCCAGCAGTCGACTTGCTTTTCCTTAATAGCATTCTCGATGAAATTACACGCATCCTCTGCTGAAAGGTCCCGCGAGTTTTTCATATTTCTTCTTTTCGCAACTTTATCCGCTCTTTCATTGAACCCTATACCTTTATGGCCAGGAACCCAGATGACAGTGAGGTGATGGAAAGCCTTAATCCGCTCGAAGTGCTTAAGGATGAGAGAGTTGGATCTCTTATGAACACAGCTCAACGTGCTGACTACAGATTTGCTATCTGTAAGGATAGCAACCTTTTCGTTAGGATTCATTTTCTCAAGAAGCTTACAAAGGGCCCAAGCCTCAGCTGAAAAGATGGAGCTTCTGCTGTCTATGCGCTGGCTGACAATCACCGCGGTTCGATCTACAGCCGCAATACATACTCTTGTGTAAGACTGGAAAGTGTCTGCAGCGTAGAGCTGAAAACCTTGATTCACGTAATCATTAATAATGCAGCGGAAATATTGCTGTATCTGAGAGATTTTTGTTCTGGAACTCATACTCATTTATTTTGAAACAACACTTTACTTCTTCAAAAAAATTTAGCTCATTGTTAAAAGTAATACACTTGCTGAAATCTAGATCGAGATTGCTTAGCTTGTCTTTAACACACTGGCTAATGGGCTTACGTATTTTGCTCCACTTGTACTTGCATCTTAGCAAACAATTTTCAGACTTTCCGCAATGGGAGAGGCTGCTGACAGAGCAATATTCTTTATTAGGAATTGCGGTGATGCATCTTATCTAAGGTGAAAACCCCTGCTTCAAACATATAATAACGGGAGAGGGGTGCTGATAGGCGCCCTTATAGCCAGTCTTAAAGCATGATTGTAAACAATTTCAAGCTTTTTCTTATTTTGTTGAAAGGTAGACATGAGTAGACAGCTACCATATTCTATTCTTCCTATTATTGTAGCATTTGCAATATTAAAGAGATCCACTTTTCTGGCCACCTGGGCTCGCAATGAATTTAAATGCATTCAGCAATCTTTCCAGTTTCGGCACTATTTTATTTACATGGACGTTCCAACTCGGTTTACTATCAAACCACATGCCCAGAATTTTAATGTGATCTTCCGTAGGGATGCTAACACCATCAAGCTTCAGTAGATTCTCTTCACTACTCTTAGTCTCATCGAAAACAATCGATTTACTTTTCTCTGGGGAAATACATAAGTTCCACTCTTTACCCCATCTATGCACTTTAAACAGCGCTCGCTGCAAATTACTGACTACCCTGTGGAACAAGACATCTGCACTGTAGAGGAATATGTCGCCCGCATACACGTAGCAGTCGACATCAGCCGAAATAATTTCATAGATATCGTGCATGAAGATTGTGAAGAAAATAGGAGACAAAATGCAGCCCTGAGGGACACTGCAGGTAAGCTCATAGCTTCTTGAAAGGACCCCTCTCCACTTTACACTGATTGTTCTCTGTTTCAAGAAATTAGCAATCCACAGGATACTATTCCCTTTAACACCGAATTGCGTGATTTTATAGAGCAGGCCATCATGCCAAACTGAATGAAATGGAGCTTTAAGATGAAGGGCTACGAACTGAACAACTTTCCTTTGCTTCGTGTGGTGAAAGATGCTACTGAACAATTTATTAAGCAGGACCAGGCAATTTCTATTCGGAATAAAGCCGTAATGCATGTTTGAGAGTCTTTTACTTTGCTGGATCCTCGGAGGTAATCTATTGAGAATCATCTTTTCCATCACTTTAGCAAGAATTTGCGTTAAAGAAATTGGTCTGTAACTGGAAACCAGCGCACTGTCGCTCCCCAGGTTTCAAAAAAAGGAATAACAATAGCTTCTTTCCAATTCTCTGGGATCGGAGCCGAATTCCATGAATTCTTGCAGGCCTCAAGGAGCGCTTGCTTGCAATCATCAAATGAAACTGTAATAGCATATCTGGTGAGGTCATCTTGTCCCGGAGCAGTGTTTCTGAGACTTTATCGAGTTCTGAACATGAGAAGGGGTTATTAATACGGCTACTCTCTTCGTCACTAAAATCCAGGGGAATGAATTTTTGAATAGTGAATCTTGAATAATACTTAGCAAACACTACGCTCTGCTCTTTTGCAGACCAGGTGTGGCCGTCCTGGTACTTTAAGATATTATTCGAGACCAAACTTAAAGTATTACAACGGATCTGACTGAATTTTTTTTTTATTTTGGATATTTTTAACTATCCTAAATAAATTGCCATCCTTTCTGGTATGACTACAATTTTTTTTCCAATACAGCCGTCTCTTGATTTTAATGACCCTCTTAAGGTAAGCGTTCCATTTCTTGTAAGAGATCCAGATGATCCAGAGATCCAGATCTTGAAAGATGAGCTTTAGCGAGTCTAAGGCATTTCCTTTTCTGACCAAGAATGAAGTTACGTTACGTGTCCCACCACGGACTGTTTTTGGGTTGAATCGCAATTTTTTTTTAGGTTTTCTCTTTTTTCGTGGCGCTCAAGATGCGGCAATTGATATTTTCCAGGTTTCTTTCTTCTGGGTGCAAAGCCCTGATTCTGTAACTGCTTTCTGTAGCGAACTTCTTCCAGTCACAGTGAGCAATTATTCTCTGATTGCCAGCAGCAGAGGCGTTGTTATCACTTATGAGCCTAATTTTTATAGGGTAGTGGTCACTGCTAAAGGGATCAGGAGAAACTTCCCATTTCAAATTGACCATAAAGCTCGGCTGAGCACAAAGCGATGTCAATGCAGGATTCGATTCCTCCGGGACTTACATGGGTGGGCTTCCCAGTGTTTAAAATGCAAAGGTTATTGTTGTTACACCACTCCAAAAGCACTCTACCCCCTGCTGACAGCCTGCTTGACCCCCAAGCCGGGTTGTGACAGTCGAAGTCTCCTAAGACAATAAACTTGCCGGGCAATGTAGCCAGAACTTTATCCCACTCTTTCACGCTGAACTGGGAAGGTAGACGTTGGTCACTGAAATATCGGAACTATTTACTCGAAGATCAACTCTCATACTTTCTCCTCCCGCTAAATCAGAACAGCTATTGTACAAATAAGCTTGTCCATTGTTTCTTGATGGCAATCATTAGCTCTCCCCCCGTCTTGGTAAGAGCTTAATCTATCTTTGCGAAAAATAACTTTATCAGGTAAGCAAAAATCGTCTAAGTTAAAGCCAAGTCTCCTGGATAATTAAAACATCACAGAAAAATTATTTCCTGCTAATGATAAAGTTTCTTTTGTTAGAGATGCTTCTTGCATTCCATGAACAAAACGTAGGTCTCATCGAACTAGATGAGGAAAGGAAACAAAGAGAGAAGCAGGGAAAGGGGGAAAAAAAAAAAAAAAAAAACTTAAAAAACTCTTTTTATGAATAAAATCACAGTTTCTAACTTTGGCCAGATTTTTTTGCTTTTGACAGTCACTTTTTGGTTTCAAAACTCATTGTCATGCTTGCTTTGAATACAAGGCTTCCCTTGTTATAGATTCTGATTTAGAATGGGGCTTCTTGCCCTTGCTTCTTACTAATTCTATTTCCGTAATATGCTCATCCAAGTTCCGTGATCACTGTCGGGTTCAAGAGCTCTTTTCCCAATATGCATTGGTAAAAGTGAGATATCAGAATCCCTAGGTGCATTCTAATATCTCGCTCAACTTTGTATCGAGCTTGTTAAACATGCAATCATATTTTTGATCCAACCCTGCTAAGATTTTTTTCGAAATATTCAGCCTGTTGTTTTAACGTTCTTTCAAAAGATCCTTGCAACGCAGTTATTATTGGAATTGTGACTTTCAGAAAATCTTCCTTTGCAAGACTTGACACCTGAGTTCCTGCCACCTTCGCATAAGAATTTTTAT